CCAGCGTGGTGTCGCATAGCTTCTGCCTTATTCTGAATGGTCTGTTGCCAGCGTTCTGCTCTGCCGTTCTGTTGTGGTGTTCGCGCCACTGATAGTTGACGCTCTATTCCGCGTTCTGCTAGGAAATCGTCGAATTCGCGGCCTAAAAACTCCCCCCCACGGTCCGAACGTATAGCCTTGAGCTTGCGCTCAGCCTGTGTTTCCGCTCAAGCGACGAATTGCTTGAAGGCAGAGAAAGCATCAGACTTCCGTTTCAGATACCAGACTAAACCAAATGAGGAATAGTCGTCGAGGGTGATAAGGGCAAACTTGTATCCGTCGAGTGATAACGACGGATATTCGACAAGATCCATATGTATTAAGTCGAGGGGATGATCCGCACGACTGTCAGATGCAGGAAATGCATCGCGACGAGACTTCCCAAATTCGCATCCATCACAGGGAGTATCTCTGGTCGGTGCCGTGATTTTATCCGGGACGCCCTTGACATTGCCAGGCAGTTGAACAACTGATTTCTTCCCGGCGTGTCCGAAGCGACGGTGCCACAAAGTATATGGATCGTCGGATTTGACCGACATTAATGTTCCTGGCTTAATCTCGCTGGTCCTAGTGAGGACTTCAGCTTCTAGCCAATATAAACCTGACGACTTTTCATATTCGCCCTCCATTAAAACTGTCCGCTGTGTTGGGTCTGACCCGCGGAGTAACTTAAACGTCTTGCCATCCATCTCAATACGGTGACCGTTATTGAGAGGCAATCTGGGCGCAAAGAACCGTTCTGCTGCTTCCGGTACGTATAATACGGTTTCTAACCGGATATGCTGAATTCGTCCATCTGTGAGACGATGTTGCAGAGCGATTTCACCGTGACCTTTGATTTCGATAGTCTGACCTTTACCGGCCGTGTGTGCATGACCTGGCTTAGGGAATTCATGGTACCGAATAAAGTCAGTTTTGTACGGTGTGACATGTGTTGTGCAACCGCTGTCGACCATCCACTTAGACTTGACACCCGTAGCATAAAGAGAAACAGAGATAGATTCTTCCTCGATTTTAGCTACAAGAGGTACATCGACTATGCGTATCGTATTAACTGTCTGAGTGGTCGTCGCGGTATTGTCCTTCGCTTTGCCCTTTCCCTTTCCCTTTTTGCGCTTTCCGCCACCCTGCTGCTGCTGCTGCGTGTTGTTGCCGTTACCGGAACTTGAGCCAGAATTCGCCGGCTTTGTTTCCCAGTGCTGCTCCGTCGTGTGATTCTTGCGACCACACTTCTCACATTTCTTGTCGAGGAGTGGCGCCTTCGAGACGCGCGCAATCTGAGTGCGATTCGCGACGCGGCGCTGTTCCTCCTCGACGATCTTGGGCTTGATGAGCGCTGCTGTGAGCAGCGTAACATCAGTCTGCGTGGTGAGAATTGTACCAGCGATGGTCTGATACGACTTGGGGAGAGCATTGATCATGAGTAGAGCAAGGAGCTGAGGTTTGACCTCTATTCCCGCCGCGTTGACCTGGTTGGACTGCTCTGTGAGCGCGTCGAGTTGCGGACCGAGCGCGGAGCTGTCAGAGAGCTGTGCATTGAACAGCTTCTGGAAGGCGACAAATGCGCCTACCGCTCCGGGTTTCTCGTAGCCGGCCTTGATCGCGGTTCATGCGTCCAGGGCCAAGAACTTGTCATCGACGAGATGACGAAGGTTCTGCGCGACGTAGAGCTGGATTATGCCCAGCGCCTTGTCATTTTTCTCATCCCATGCAGCTTGAGCTAGAATTTCCGTAGCCGTGGGTGTACCTGTCGCAGCTATTGGTCTGGCAAGACCAGGGACTGGAACGGTCGCTGTGGAACCGTATCCCTGGATCAAGTACCAGACGCCCTGGTAGCGCAGGAATGCTCGGATCGCGTCGGACCACTTTTTATAGTTGGTGCCGTCGAATTGCGGGATGGTGGATGTGGCGAGCTTGGTCGGGTCAGAAGAGGATGACATTGTTATCGTATATGAAGAGAAGGCGAGTGTATGCGTAGAGAGTTTCACGTTCCTTTGGAGTTAAACCGACGTCGTAAAAGAAGTCACTGAGATCGAGCTCGTATGATTCGGCTCGTGTCGCTCGAAGTGATTCCCAATCTTCTTCCAAGAATGCGAGATCGTATGTCTGATTGATCGGTCTATAATATAGATCTTCCGCAATGTCTTCCTGGTTGAGGTAACAAGCGTATGGTTCCGAATATGTGTCGGAGCTTGTTGGAAAGAAGAAATGGATTATGTCTTCGTCGTGGTTTGTTAACTCTGCTGTAGCGTTATAGCTCGGCGGTTCTTGGACGTGTTTGAAGAAGTAGAACGGGGTTAGCAACACTTCAACGTATTGTTTGTGTGCTGTTAATGCTTCCCAGTCTGTCTCTATGTCGTCTAGTATATTCAGTCGCTGTCTGAATTCCGCGACGGTTTCCTGTTTTGTCTCTACGGTTTCAGGTACCGTATTTGTCTCCTGAGAGGTAGTGATTGTGAACGCTGTTGAGCGAACCACTTATCCCAGCTAAGCCGATTTAGCCGAGAGGTGGATAGAGTTGGGATTGGACGAAGGAACCAGTTAAACTACGACACTTGTTGTCGCTTAGGATAAACACACAGTATTCAGGTTTCCGAGTAGAACTTCTTTCTGATTGTTACAATAGCGTTGTATACAAAGTATCTATTTGTTCTCGTAAAACCTAATCGCGTCAAAATATCCGTTCACGTAAACTGCGCTGAGCGCTTGTACAATCCGGGCTTTGTTCTTGCGTAGCCCTTTGAACGAGATATCCCCTATTTCTCTGCACCCTAATTCCCACTTGCGCCACTCCTCGTATTTGACGACGTTGCAGACGTCCGTTAGGCAGCGCTTGATGCGCGTGAGCTGCTCGATGAGTCGGTGGAGATTGCGGACTCGGTCGGTGTTGAGGTCGTCGAGCTCGAGAGTCTCGAAGACGTCGAGGCGTTTGAGCGTGCCGTCGAACTTCGGTGTGAAGATGCGGACGAGGTCGGCGGGAGTGTGCTTGTCGAAGTCGATGAGTATCGGCTTCGGGGTGATCGGCGTATGTGTCGCCGGTGGGATGGCAGCGAGACGCTGCTCGAGTGTCGGCTTTGACGGACCGGCGAGGATCCGTTCGCACGCTTGTTGGATTTCACGTGCAGCTAGACGCTGCTCGAAGTCGCACTTGTCGGTTGCGTAGCGCTCGCGGAACTGTTCGCGACGTAGGCGCCTTCCCTCGTGTGAGTTCGGAGGGAACGGGAGAGTGAGCGCTGGAGTTGGCGGGCGTAGTGCTTTGCCGCGGCGTTTACCGTACGGGACGGTCTCGACGGGGTCGTTGGCGTTGCCGGAGGCAGGCGCGTAGCTGGCAGAGTGCTTGTACCGCTGGAAAACGGAGTGAGGGGGACGAGCGGGCAAATCCTTTGGCACTAGATTAACGCAGGAATGAACGCGATGAGCGCTCCGTCTGCCACTAGCACGCAACGAGACTTACTCGTAAACTGCGTGGATAAACTTTGTTTAAACTGGGTGAAGGGGACCGAGGTTTCCCGAGGGGTCTTCTTCAGCAATGAGACTAGTTGAGTGGGGGTAGAGTGGCCGTGAGGCCAGGGCTCATAACCTGTTAAAGTGCGACTGAACTCTTACTTTATTCTGTGCTACAGGGCCAGTATATATACATGTGAGTCAGGACCTCTGATACCGCTATAAGACCTATGGTACTATGAGTGTAAGCATGTATACTAAGCATGAGTAATCAGATGTCGTATTACTACAAGATAATAGAGGGATCATGTGATGATATCCCCATTAGTCCGTACAGGGCAATAACGTAATCGCCCAGTTCTGACAAGCTTCCCTGCTCCCTATCTTCATCTCCATTCCTTGCACAGATTGCGCTATACTGTGCGCAGGCGGAGCTCTGAGCAGCCCGAAGGCGTTCATGGTGCCCTCTGAACGAATTCCTCACAGCAGCTGTAGCCATGCTGGTCGAATGAAGCGAGATGGTGTCGGGCCGGGTCGCTAGACTAACTGTTAATAGTTCATGAATACCCAAATAACTCTTCAACTTCTCGCTCGCAGGTGCTTGCCGGTGTTCGAAGATATCATTAGCAACGACGGCTCAAGAGCCACAGCGTCTCGCGCACCGGGGCGAGTGGCCGTTGGCGAACTATCGAAGAACAATTACTCGTGGCCACTCACTTGTCGACGGATATGCATTTTGTCGCTTGCCAGTCAGACGGAGAAGGCGATCTCGCCATACCGCAAACACTAGGGCGCCTGCCAGTGAAGTCTCTCCCATTCCGTACACATTCTGCGCTTCCACTCTCTTGAGTTCCAGCAGGCTACACCGCAGCTATCACGCTGACGAGGACAGAAAGAGCTCCATCTGTTCGGATGCACGGTCGACGGGCACAGATCAAGCAGCGCGCTTCGTTCAATGACATCGCAGGCCGCGCTGGACTATCCTGGCTTCGCAGTGCAATATTGTATTCATATGAAAGTGAGCCTCGGGGCCTTCCACTAGATATTTTTGAGCATTGCGCTGGCGGCTCGTTGGCGAGCTGTTGCAGGACCTATTCTGCACCTTGGCAGACTTCGCCGATGCACCCCGCCCGTCCGATCTTGATCACCGCTATATCCGTCGAATGCACCCACTGCGCACTTACGCACCTGCGCAAAACCACCGCAGACGACTCGTCTGAATTGTGTCCCCCAAGCTTTGACTGCCCATCCGACGAATTTTCGGCCTACACTTGCGCTTTCTGCCGGCACGGGCGCACTCGATGATGAACGGCAAAGGCCATGGAATGAGCGCGTGTTATCCTCTACATATGCACATAAATAAGATAGCTTTATGTTTTTCGACAACGACTACGGCAGAAACGGGCAGGTTCGCGTTCTATTGCTGTACACGAACACAACGAATAAGCCCTTAGACTGTACCCTAGGGTTAGGAGTTCTAACCCTATACTGATGATCAGGCTCGTGGCGCTGGAAGGCGCCTCGCACTGCCTCCCCTGGCCTGCACTACCTGCACCCTTCATCGTAGTCATCATGCGCATGTTCCGCCGCCCTCGTCCACCGTCTGCCTCGCACGAAATCTACACATCTAGTCTTCAGATGCTCAACGTCGGCCATGCGCTGTGGTTCCCCGAACCGCATCACTCGGGCGAGCCGCAAATCGGGGACGTTGGCTTCATACGCGAAGGTGCACTCGTCAGGTTATTCAACCTCGACACGTCTGCTCCCGAGAAGAAAGTCACACACTGGGATGACTACCCTCCGTTCGAGGTTACACCACCCTTGCCGAAAGGTGCACTCAAGACTTACAGCGCACCTCGAGTGCTTTTCCCTGGTCATCATTGCAGTCATGGAGTTGAGTCAAAGGAAATTCATACTTCGGCAGACGCGTAAGCACGCCGGCTGGTCTGGCAAACGTACCCTACTGACAATACACAGAAATGCGGGGCCCAACGTATCCGCAGGCGTCAGCGTCCGCTACACGTGCAGGCAAGAGCAAGGAGCAGCTCTCGAGCTGAGAAGCGAGGCCAACAGCGAGTCCACGTACGACAATCATGTCCTGAAGATGTACATCGCACAGAACTATGGCAAATGGCACGCGTATGCCAGGGATGTTCTCGGTCACGACATCGACGAGGAGGATATCGTGGTGATCAGTGGATGGGTCAAGACCAAGGCGGATTGGGCAGCAACGGCGTTCAGGAATACGAGCACAAGGTCGAAGGGATCAGTCGAGGTTCATATAGGCGGGGTCGGGGGAGCTCAGGCCGGGGTCGAGCATAGTCGCTCTACGACCGGTCCGAAGATGCACCGGCACGGCATACACTACTCAGAGACCACGTCTGGCTCTATTTCCGCGGAGGCGAAGCAGGACCAGTGCATCTTTTTGAAGTACTACAAGGTACAACGACGGCTCCTTGGGCTCCCGCCGAAGATCGTTGCCGGCGCGGGCTACCATCGACTTCCGGATCCAGGAGATGGGGAAGGAGATTCAGAAGAGGATGGAATCGGGGCGGGAGAAGTGTGGGAACTGGATGAGGTAGACGTCCTGGGGTTTGAGAGCGATGTACGCATTGACCGCGAGTCATCACGAGGCACACGAACTGATAACATTCCAGGAGAAGGCTTTCGGCCCGCTGGACATCCTTCTCGATTATATGTTTGAAGTAAGTCTACTCTACGGCTCTGTCTGCCGCGCTAAGCAAGAGGCCCGTGTCCACAGACTACCGATGTTGAAACCGCCATTGCAAGCAATCAAGATGTTGAGAATATCCTCGTATGTGACTCTCACCTCTATCAAGAGAGCGGAGGCTGACGTCAGATCAGGGTGACAATGAGGTAGTTGATTTCGCAAGCTACCTCCGTAAGATGCAGCCTCCGGTGAGGGTCGACGGCACGGGTGAGTTTCTAGTCTTCTCGGGCTTGGGTACACAATATCTGAACACAGCAACGACAGTTGGATCACTGTGCATGGAAGATGTCATATCACATGAGCGAGAGCGCGCTTTCGCGCGCCGAGCCATCACCACGGCCGACCTGGCGAAGTGGTCAGGCATCACCTTTGAGAGCGCTGGTCGCTTGGAGGACATGCCCGTCTTTATTCCGGGCCTAACAGAAGGGGAAAGTAAATCCCTGAAGTTCAGACATCTTGCATTTTCCGATTCTCGCAGTCCTTCCGAAGAGTGCCGCCGCTTCGCCCTGTCGAACGACGGCAAGTTCCTTGCGGCATCGTTCTGGAATAGCGAGGCCCTCGTGTGGCGACTTTCGGACGGTCTCTTGGTTCAACGCCTACAACATCAAGGCCATACAGGCGATGTTAGGTCCTTGTCATTTTCTCCCGATAATCACACCCTTGTCTCGGGATCTGATGACGGAAGCGCAATCGTCTGGGACATTCGGAACGGCCGTGTTCTTCTACGTCTGGAAGGACAGGGCAAGTCAGTACGCCGGGTCGCATATGCTCCCCATGGCACACTCATCGCTACCGCATCAACACAAATTGGATCCGGCAACAACAGATCTGTGAAGATTTGGGACACTTCGACTGGGGCATGTCTGCATTCCTTCAGCTATGATGAAGAAATAGAGACGCTCGCCTTCTCCTCGGACGGCGCCCGTCTCTGCATCGAGCTGGAGAAGCATTGCCTCCTCTACGATATCCAGACATATGCACTCATCGCTACGCTGCAGCATGACGCAGGGAAGACGCTCACCTGGTCAATGGCTCACGAAGGAGATCGTATAGCAACCGCATCGGACGGCCGAGTGGCAATCTGGAGTGGGGTGACTGGCGACAAGATTCTCGCAATAGAACACCCGCAAGAGCTCTCGAGGCCCGTGACCTTCTCTCCAGATGGCACCGAGGTACTTGCGGGCTGTCTCGCAGACAAGACTGCGGTCACCTTCGACTCGCGGACAGGCCAGCTACGTCACACTTTCCAGCTATCAGATGGCGCATACCGTGTGGCATACTCTCCAGATGGAGAATACGTTGTTCTCGGCGATGATAATGATGATAGCGGTGAGCTACAAATATTTGATGCGAAGTCTGGATCATTTCTAGCAAAGCTTGAGGCTGAGGGCAAACTCTTTCGTGTCGAATTTGTACCTGACAGCCATCACCTTCTGATAGATTTTCGATACCAACCTCTTAGGCTGTGTGATGTCCAGGATATAATGCGCATGCGATAGTATAGCGTTCACCAGCTGTTTCAATGTACCATATGAATAAACATATTTGCAGAAAATCTAGTCCAATATGTGCGGGTACAGTGTGAATATGGATTACATACAATGGGCAGATGCCGCCACTGGCAGGTAAGATTTGCATGGAAGAAACAGCAGAATCAGAACAACACATGAGACCTGCAAGAAACGGACCCTTGCGATAGAAAAATGCAGCGATAGGGTCCAGACAAGACGGTAAATGCAATGTCCACCCAAGGACGTATCGCGTTATCGAACCGAACCGAACTTCCATGTAGGATGAGTATATTCCAGGAATCCGTGCGATAGTAGTTTGCCTTGTAGGCACGCAGTTAACTCATCGCTCGGTCACCCACTTCCACGCGGTGCAATTCAGAATCTCCTTGTTGTGTTTGGATGAGTACATATCGACCGTGGTGGTTATGCTCGTCGGGACATGGGCAGGCGTGGCAGAAGTACTGTCACATAGAACTGACGGTGTGGCGAGCATTATGGCCACTTCTAGCTTGTTCCCAGATTCATCAGAGGGCGCTGCGGAACAATATTCGATGATATGTACACCCGCAAGCGATGAATGAGACGGAGGAGTAGCGTTGGACGTCGCCGAAGTGTCGTCTTAGGGATAGCGTCTAGGCTTAATCGCCTATAAGTTAAGCTCGTCGTATTGGAGATCTTGACCGTGTTTCAGGGGAAGGAAATGCAGTCACTTGTGCGCAGCATTCCCGAGCGTCGGGGGGAGATGTACAGGACGTGTTGATAGCATCTCGGGTGGTATCTGCGCTGGCAAGTTTAGTCATCTACTGCAGAGGACACACCCTTACAGTCAGTCGTGCAACCACGCGACGATGAACAGGAGGCGTACATGGTCTGCGCAATATTCTCTTCAAGTGGTCTGTTTGCGGCATCTCTCCCGGACTACTGAGGACAACCTCGGTCAGCGTCAAGCTTTCGCGCTTGGTATTCCCACACACGCACGGCTCCAACCAAACCCCGATCACGAATGACCGCCAACCTCACCTCCCGTTACTCACATTCAGCATTATTGCCGGTCTCGCATAGATGCGTCGAGATACACTGGAAATACAGAGAATAGCCTGCTGTATGCGCTGTAGGCCAGCGCGAGAAATACATACGGCAGAAAATTTTGAGAACCATTGTGGCGCCGGGGATATAGGTTGATGGAAAAATCGTGGACGTGCATTATTTGGGAGACGAAGACATAGCGAGACATCAGGCTGTTCGGCCGGTCAATAAGCACAGAAGAGACCAAGCCAAGTGACGGACACACAATGACATGACAACCCTCGTGGCAACTGCCCAGAAGTCTTAAACGCTCCCAACCAACATGTTAAATGGGTATCCAAAGCCGCGATACGCGGCCCATCCGGTCGCAGATGTTGACCTCCCGACCAGAAACGCCTTGTTTGCGTGCTGAACAAACGAGTGAATCCCGGGCCGTCCCCGATATGTAGATGAACATACGTACCTCACGTCAAAGTGGTGTCGTTAACACCACGCATTAGGTCGCCAAAGCGCGCGATCGCCATAAAGAAAGCATACACAGCGCATCAGCGTGGACGCGTCGAGAACGCTGCTGGTAAATGCAGGCGGACCACAAGGAAATACATAAGCTGTTTTTACCCGCGACCGAAAGGCAACGTTGTCGTCTTGCGGATTGTTTGCGGGTGACTTGGAGGACTGCATGGAGCAGCGAAACGGCTCGGAAGACGCTCGGCTAGCGCTAGTTCGGGTGTGGGTGATATGCAGTAGTTATATGAACTGAGCACGGACGAGGACTCCAGTAAAGCAACGCGGATATGCTCTGGTTGGTGCGAGCAGAGGAGCTGCCCGAGGTCGAGGCCGGGACGCGGCAAACTAATAAAAGTGGGATATTACGTCAGCATATCGTGGCGGCTGATATCTGTGCGGGCACGTGACTAATCCGCCTCTCGGGGAGCTCCTTGCATGTACTTTGTCTGTCCCACTAATGCGCCGCGGTCACAAATGAAATCTCTCGCAGCCGTCCTCATTTGCAATCGCCTCAAAATCTCAAACGTAGCAAGGACTTCTGTTCACGGCTCTCCAGGCCCCAGCTACTTGGCCTTTGGTCTGCTTGATTAACGACGCGTATAGCCAGCGCGCGCAACAGGATCCCGCTCCCCGCAGGGGGACATGCGAAACGAAGGGTTTTGATGAAGGCACGAAGTAAAAGACGCTAGGTGGTGCGCGGTCATATACTGACATGTGCGGCGTTCATGACCTTGACACTGTTGCTTATAGACGGTATGACAACGACTCTACTTCTGCAGCTCGTTCAAGCATGCCCCCGAGATACTGACTCCAATTATCTTTCAGCCCTCCCTTGCTTCCAGTGTGTCGCCATGCGACTCCTAGGATAATATGCCCGTTGAACTAGCACATTCTGAATCTTATCGGATAGGTCTGGATACGTTTTATATCACATATTTCGTCGGGTATCGACGGCCTAGTCTAAGGCGAAGTGCAGGTGTAAAAAATACATGGCACGTGAGCTACTCGTCCACTCGAGGTTTGAGCCCAGCTTCTCCGCGCGAAACCATCATGCTCATAGCGCTGGCTCCCGCTATCGATTTTACAGCGCCCGTGGCTCTGGCTTGCTTCACGTTGCCATCCCTGTTCTACTGGCTCGCTTCCTATCCTCGCTCATTCACTATGTTCTTTTTTCGTCGTCTACCTTCCGCTCCATACGAAATCTATCCATCCAGTCTCGACATCCTTTACCTCGGCCGCGCCCTCTGGTACCCCGAGCCACATGTCACGGGCGAGCTACAGATCGGCGATGTGGGCTTCATTCGTCGCGGTGCATTCGTCAGACTATTCAACCTCGACACCTCCGCGCCCGAGAAGAAGGTCACATTTAAGTGGCGCAAACCCTTCAAAAACCTAGAACCCTTGCCTGCGGACATGCTGGAGATCGACTCGAGAAGCAGCCCGCTTGTTCCCAAACATTATTGCAGCCATGGAGTCGAGGCCAGGGAGGTACATACCTCGGCAGATGCGTGAGTGCTTTACCTCATCTAGTAAAAATCTTCTGACAGTGCGCAGAACGGCTGGTGTAGGCGCGTCTGCGGGTGTCAGCGTGGAGTACGCATGCAAGGCGGCGCAAGGCGCGGTGCTGGTACTGCAGAACGAGGCATACGAGGAGACGCTATTTGAGAACTATCTCCTCAAGACATTCGTCGTCCGGAATCACGACAAGTGGTACGGGTATGCCAAGGGCGATCTTAGCCAAGACGTCGAGCAGGAGGACATTGTCTTCGTCACTGGGTGGGTCAAGACCACAGCAGACTGGGCGGCAAGTGCCTTCAGCAACACCAGCACGAGGTTCGGTGCCTCGTTCAGAGCGCATATCGGCAGCTTTGCGGGGATCAATGCGGGCGGATCGCACACGAGGACGGTGACGGGTCCAAAGATGGAGCGCCGAGGCAAGAGCCACTTGGTGAAGACATCGGACAGCGTGGGGACGGACACGAACAGGGACCAGTCAGTGTTCGTGAAGCGGCTTATGGTGCGAAAGCGGCCGGGGCTTCCGCGGAAGATCGTTGCGGGTGCTGGATATCACCAGTTTTCGGATCCAGAGGACGGGAGAAGCGGTTCGGGAGGAGAGAGAACTATGGCTCGGGAGGAAGATATGGACGAAGAGAATATAATAGAACTCGAGGACGAGGTGTGTGACCGGCGACGACAACTTGCGGGGAACACCAGCTGACGAGATAACAGAGCCAGATTGTTGATCCGCTGGACATCCTTCTCGACTACATCCTTGAAGTAAGTCAGCTCACACTGAGCGCCGTGAATCACGCTAACCATCGTACATGTGACGATAGACGTCTAGTGTCGAGACTGCAATTGCAAGTGATGACGACGTGCAGAGCATCGTCGTACGTGCTGTGTGCAATGTGTGACATAAATGCGAAAACTCATATACGCTCAGGGTAGGAAGCAGGTGGTGGATTTTGCGAGCTACCTTCGCCAAGTACAACCTCCGGTGAACATCGATGGAACTCGTGAGTCTCCCTCGTCGACTGGCGATAGCTGTATCTGAATGCCGCGATATTCTGCGCAGTCGGCTCGCTGTGCATGGAAGACGTGATATGCAATGAGCGATCTCGCGCCGTTGCACGTCGTACGATCACCAGGTCAGACCTGGCGAAATGGCCATACATCGCCACCAACGATGCTGGTCTGTTGGATGACGGGCATGCCTTCATCGGCACCACGGAAGCGAAGGCTCGTTCCGTGAAGCTGAAGCATCTTGTCTTCGCCGGTTCTCATTACCCATCCAAATATTTGCGTCGCTATACCCTATCTGTGGATGGCAAGCTGCTTGCGGGATCTTTCAACGCTAGCGATATCCTCGTATGGCGACTCTCCGATGGTCTCTTGGTCCAACGCCTACAACATCGGGGCCATACGGATAATGTTAGATCCCTATCGTTTTCTCCCAATAACCAGACCCTTGTCTCGGGATCCAACGACAAGAACGCAATTGTCTGGGACGTTCGAAGTGGTCATGTGCTTCTGCGTCTGGAAGGACACAGCGGGCGAGTGACCATAGTTACATATGCTCCTCATGGCGCACTCATCGTCACTGCTTCTGAAGAAGATAATTCCATGAAGATTTGGGACGCTTCCACTGGGGCTTGCATGCGGTCCATCCATACTGGCTCTACTGTATACAAGCTCGCCTTTTCCCCGGATAGCCTGCATTTCTATGCTGAAGTGGGCCTCTCTCTCCTCATCTATGATGTCCGAACATGTACACCTATTGCGGCACTACAGAGCGGCTTGGGGGTTGCCAGTGGAAGCTCCTGGTCAGTGTCGCATCAAGGAGATCACATTGTTGCTCCATCGGATGGTCAAGTGAAGGTCTGGAGTGCAGTAACTGGCGAAGAGATTCTTACGATCAACCACCCGCTAAAGCAAGCTGGGCTTTCAGCACCTGTGGCCTTCTCTCCAGATGGTGCTACAGTACTGGCGGCCTGTGGCATGGACGAGACCGCTGTCACCTACGACTTGCGGACGGGCCAGCTACGTCACATCTTCAAGCTATCAAATCAGGCACACTGCATGGCATACTCTTCAGATGGAGACTATGTTGTCTTCAGTGATTATAGCAGTAAGCTAAAAATATTTGATGCCAACTCTGGATTGTTCCTTGCAAAGTTTGAGGCTGATGTGGGCCTCCATGATATCCAATTTGTACCTGACAGCTGCTGTCTTTTGATGAATTTTCATCATAGACCTCCTAGGCTGTGTAATATCCTTGATCTAATGCGCATGCGATAGCACACTATTTTGTGCCTTACTGAATGTACCATTAGTGCACATATGTATGGAGAATCTCACTAGTACAACACAATATGCACAGCATGCATGGGCACGCAGTATGGGTGAAAAATATGTTTGACAAGAAGGTGCTGCTGAGTATACTTTGCATCAAAGGACAGAAAGCAGAATTAGAAGATATGCAAGATCTGCGAGAAGTAAATCCTTGTAACATATGTGTATGTGTGTGCGTGTATGTGTGACCAAGACTATACTGGCTGGCTGGTGCAATGACTGTCCATAACAAACTCTGCAGGTTGTGCACCGTAACATATCACATGACAGAGGGGGTGCAATTACTCTTACATGAGCTAGTGTGGTCAGCCAGTTTATAGTAGACAAGCATATAGCTCATTGACAGTAGTCACACTTTGTGCTTTGCTAATCGCAAGAGCGTGTACAGACAAATATGCAGGTTTAGACCAAAGCTTGAGAGCATATGACCTGACAGTGATAGGTGTGATAATGACAAGAGGGGTTATAAGAGAGTAATGATAGCATGGTCTTGGCACATTGGAACAAGACATACTGAGCAAAGTCAGGGCCATGCAAGCCTGCAGTCTGTCAGAAGGGAGCTATACACAGCAGAGACATGATATAATGTACCTGTCGTAGGCGTAGCCCCGGCCTCCTATTATTTTTCCATTTTCTCCGATTTTCTACAATTTATTTCACATTTATACGACCCTCCAAATGTTGTCGGCGCATTGGCACCAGTTTACAAGTCCTAGCTGCATGCCAACACCTCGGGATCGCATCACTGACAGGCACGCATCAGCGCATCAGACGTGCCTGCATTGCCGCCGCTTCGTCTCCGCATTACACTTTCTCGGTAACTATCACAACTCCTATACTCACCTTACTGATAGACTTGAAGGGTAGGACTTGAAGTCGAGGGGTGTAAGTAGAGAGAGATGCAGATACTAAGAATCAACGAAGTTGTTGAGTCTGAGGTCTTAAGCCTCAGACGACGCTCCTTATATACAAGTAATCTAAGACCCCTGACACTACGTAGGACCTATGGTACTCTACATTACTAAGTGCTCATGTGACTACTCGTGACTCGTTACTAATACACTACCATTATGTTTAGTAATACGAGGGATAATGACCGTTGGAGTATCTCCATTAGGCTAAGCTATCCACCAGGTGACATCATTCATGATGTCATGACATGTGACTGGTCTAGAACGAGTTCTGGACTTGTGGTTATCTTATCTACTGATCCCATCATATCTATATGATGATCTAGGTCTCGTGATATGCAT